CAGTGCAAGACTAAACATAAACACAGTGCAAACAAACCAAACCAAAACCCCCAACAGATAACAAAAGAACAATACTAAGCGTAGTCGGACGGGCCGGGTCAGGAACAATCAGGCAGACAAGGTACCAAAGGAGCAGACTGGAGAGTGGTCAGGAATAGCAGAGGTCAGGACAGGTGGAGTTCAATCGGAGTCAGGGATCAAGCAGGATCAGACAGGAAGCAGACAGGATGCAGGTACAGAGGCTCTTGGGAAAACATACACCAAGGAGCTGATTGCAAGTCTGGCCATTCCTTATATGCACCTCCTGCAATCAGCCTCAGGTGTTTTGGCTGACTGCAGAAGTGAGCCTCTGGTTGCTGAGAGCACCCGCTGGCCAGTCCTGGTACTGCAAACCACAAGGCAGGTGAGTCCCACCACTATTGGCGAGTCCATTCCTGACAGCAGCTGGTGACATTACCGGCGCATGCACTCTGAAGGGACAGAATACTGTGTCCTCCCTTCAGAGCTCTGTGCTGTAAACCATGGCTCCTGTGCACATGTATAGGAGTGATGTCATTGTGGCTGTTAGGACCACAGGAACCTGGAAGCCAGCAATGGTACCAGTGGTGACTCACTGCCTTTTGATTGCAGTACCAGGGCTGGCCAGCGGGTGCTCCCAGAGTGCTAACAGGAACTGATGATGCTCTAGAGGGTATTTAAGGGATGGCAGACCCACAGACTCTGCCTTGGTGTTGAAGTCCTGGGCCCTGTATCTGTCCTGCATCCTGTTTCTGTCCCTCTGCCTGACCCTCTGTACTACGCTGCTTGTTACCTGTTTTGATCTCTGGCTTGTGACCCTGACCATCCCTCTGCCTGACCCTCTGGGCTGCTTGCTACCTGCTGAACCTGGCCTGTGACCCCGACCATTCTCTGCTTGCTCCCCCTGTACCTACCTGCCCAATTGATATTGACCCGGCCTGCCTGACGACGCTGCTTGTATGTACTGTTATCTGTGGGTGGTTTGGTTGTTCGCACTGTATTATGTTTAGTATTGCACTGCGTTTATGTTTGTATGGTTAGTGTTAATAATTTGTATTGTTTATCACATTCTGAAGTCTGCGTTTCTGCATCAGTCACACACCTCTGGTCATACCTGGGAGCCCTGACAATGTCATTGTGGCTCAGCCATTCACAGGACCACAGCCAATGAACCTGGAAGGAAGACTGGGGGGAAAATGGAAGCCCTACCAGTGGTGACTGCTGAAGGGCTTTGTTCTAAGGTATTTTATAATGTGCTAGTATGCGATGGAGAGTTTGATTGCTCCTGTGGACAGGTGTCTTTTATACAGGTAACAAAATAAGATTAGCAGCACTCCCTTTAAGAGACTGCTTCTAATCTCAGCTTGTTGCCTGTATGAAAGACACCTGGTAGCCAGAAATCCTGCTGAATGATAGGGGATCAAATACTTATTTCCCTTATGAACATGCAAATCAGTGCATAATCTGTTAGACATGCATTTCTTTAGAATTTTTGTTGCTATTCTGTCTCTCAGTGTTACAATACACCTACCATTTGATTTTAAGACTGATCATTTCTTTGTGAGTGGGCAAACATTCAAAATCAGCAGGGAATCAAATATTTATTTACTTCACTGTATATCAGTTAATCCCTTTAATGCCAGATGTTCTTTAGCTGTCATGTAATTTGTATACTTGAAAATATCATGGCAAATCTGCTGCAAATAATACGTTTTCTAGTATGCCAAAAATAATTTTTAGCAATGTTGTCCAAGGAGTTAATCTGCACAGAGTTCTATATACTGGATTCAAAGTCTTTTTGTTCTTGAATGCTATTATGGGTAATTTTCATACTTCTAATACTAATCTGTTTACCAATAGGTTTGTAATAAATCTGTATAAATTCTTAAACAAAATAAAAGGGTTAGGTCTGATGTCTGGTGCAAAATTGAGAAAATAATTCCAGAGTGAGGAATTGCAGGTGTTTGTGTACCTGACATTTCTTCACAACTTTAGTAGTGTTCAGTCATATTCCTCACTCCTGCCCATCAGCCATTAAAGCCCAAAATTGGAAGTAGATATAATAAAGCTAATGTCAGTATTTGCGGGCTCCTACTGTATATGATGGCGTTTTTATAGGTAAATTCTATAGAAATTGAATTAACTTTCCTTTTGCATTATATTATTTACAGGGGTTTTTAATGTTGTTATTTGGTTGATGGTGTTTTTCTGGCTTAAGCCTTTTACACGAGAATATCAGACAAATGATCATCCTTTTTATTTTTTTTTTATTTTTGCGTGCTAGACTCCATATTGAAAAGTTCCGAGAATTCTTGTACGACAGAAAAAAATTCAGATGTAATGTACTGTATAGTATTTTTGGATGAAAAATGTACTATTTAAATGAAAACCATATGATTTGGTATCGTACGTGAAAAAGTTTTGTGCTTGTCCCTTCAAATAATTTCGGATGAAAACTGTGTATCAATGATCAAGTTATCGTATAACCGCTTTGAAAGCAGTATTTTTCGTATGATTTTCTGATCGTGTGTACTTGGCTTTACTCTGTCATTCTGTGTTATTTTTTTATTAACACCTTGTGGAGCCTTAATTGAGATCCTTCTGTTATCGTACCCCAGCATGCTATAAATGCATGTTAGTAGCATATCCATCCAGCAAGTTAAAGGTTGGAGTGCCATTTTCCAGGACAACTGGAATAAGCCAGTATATTTTGGAATACCTGTGAATGCAATTGTTAACATCATTCTTTTCACCATTTTGTCACGTTTAATACACTATGGTGTGCCCATTGTCTTTTCCTTTTTGTTTCTAGAAGACACATTGTCCTACATAAAACTACTATCCATCCTTTGCAATATGTACTTGTGGGTTAGATGTTACAATAGCTGATAATATAAAAAAGCTTAATACTAATGGCTTAATGATACAGCTTTAGTGGCTAAGTATCTAATATCCACTACAGGAATTCAATTGTTTTTAAGGCCTTAATCAATCATTTAGAATGGTATTTGTCTAAAGAATTATAGTATGTTGCACTATCAGGGCTTTGCTGTTCTTGGTGCTTAAGCTAGCCATAGATGCTGAACCAGCTGAGATTCGAACCGTCTATCGGTAGGCTGATTGTACCCAATGCAATTGTTGTATGACTTGGGTACAACCAGCATGATTTTCAGATTATGACACGTGATTATTGCCATTGGCTCTAGTCGCTTGCAATAATCACTCTGTTCTCCAGGCAGGGATAGCTCTCGACCCCCCACCCCCCACTGGGAAAACACAATAGCTCCGAGGGAAGAATTCCCCCATCAACACTGACTGTTACAAGAAAGAAAATCATATCATCCATGGCTTGTTTTACTTTCTCATGTGATTGTACTGATAGCACACCTAAGGTTGTGAAAGATGTAATTACCAAATGTCTGTTTTTTAAGTAGACTTGTCTAATAAGTTTAGTGTATAAATACATTTGTCATAAGGTTAGCCTAAAACTGAACTGCTGGCAGATATACAAGACAAAAATAATGCAGCTCTGTAACCATTTTAATTTTTTTTTTGAATTCTAGTAGTGTATCTGAATTTGAGTTAGTATCAGCCTCTTCAGCGGCGTAACTAGAACCTTCAGGGCCCTGGTGCAGGAAACCATGAGGGGCCCCCTGACCCCTGGCTAGGGCCCTTCCCTCTGAGCCTGGCGGGGGCCAGGGCGCAAGTGCAACCTTTGTAACCCTGGAAGTTCCACCAATGGTGTCAGTAGTTGTTTATTTTTTTTATTTTATTTTTTTAACTTTTTTTAAACAATATTATTTTTTACAATTTTTTTAGGAGCCCCCGTTGGGGGACTTTGGTGAAATATCAAGGTTCTAAACAGAACTCAGAAGTTCCACCTTTGATATAGAGAAAGAACATTGAGGACAAAGCCCTCAATATCCTTCTCTGCATCCTCAGCTGCACATAATGAATGGACAGGATTATTATTTATTTATTTCAGGTACTTATATAGCAATGTCAATTTTACGCAGCGCTTTACATATATATTGTACATTCACATCAGTCCCTAACCCTCAAGGGGTATACAATCTAAGGTCCCTAACTCACATTCATACATACACATACTATGGCAAATTTAAACAGGAGCCAATTAACCTACCAGCATGTCTTTGGAGTCTGGGAGGAAACCGGAGTACCCGCACAGGAACAGGGAGAACAGCCAAACTCCAGGCAGGTGATGCTGTGGTTGGAATTTGAATCAACAACCCTAGAACTGCCAGGCAGAAGTGCTAACCATTTAGCCACTGTGCTGCCCAGCCCAATACCTATGGGAGGGAGAGGAGGAGAAGGGGGCATTCAGTGGCTGCAGGAGGAAAATGGAGAGATTGATTACTCTATATGCAGCCGCCCCTGCCACTCCTTCTATCCAGGCATACAGGGGGCCACACAGGCCACCTGCTGCATGGGACCGGGTCACAATTGCAACCCCTGTAGGTACTCCCCTGAGCCTCCTACAATCCACTGTACAGCAGAGCTCAAACCCTTAAAGGAAGAAGCATCACATCCAATTAGTTGTGTTGCAGGGCTAATGTGCTAATGATAGCATGTTGATAGGAGGATAGAGCAATGTGACAAGTTTATACATTGTCCAGTCACAGGCTGGGGGATAAACAAGACCTGTAAGTATTCCTTAACTGCTGAGGAGAAACCTTAGGTTGCTTGCCCTGCCAAAAAGGCTTGTGCTGTGTGGCAGAATTTTGTACACTAAATATCTGAACTAGCTGGACAGAATGTATCTGTTTCCCTGGAAGAGTGCTAGCCCACATTAAAAAACAAAAATATTCATGATAATTATTTGCAGTAGGTCAAATTTACAGGTTGGCTTATAGGCAAGGAAAATTGCTCATAATCCATTAGGCACAATTACTTAGCACCAGTTTATTAGTATAATTTTTATATTGCAGCTTTATTCAATCTAATAAACAAACATTACTTACCCCTTTAAAGTATCGACTGCTACCACATCAAGGAAGATTACTTGTCCAAAATCAAAAATGAGGCTGTGAATGGTGACCAATGGGACTGACACACTGACAGGGAGCTCTGCATTCCAATCTATTTGCAGCATTATATCATTGGTCTCTTTGTTTTCTGCTTCATCCAAGTCATCATCCATCTCCGAATCTTCATCAGTATAGGAGTCTCTCCTGATCTCATTCTGGAACAAAATATCATAACACATGTGGTCACTGGACGCATTCATTTCATTAAAAAAATACATACATTTAATTACATTAGTTGAAAAGCATCATATAAGATACCTCATTTGCTGACATTTTCTTTTTCTTCAGAAGCTTATTAATCTTCTGCTGAGCCTTTGTTCTCTTGGTAAAAACTCTAACGGCATCAAACCCCACCTATGAAAAATATTTCAGTTTATTACCTTCTCATAGCGTTGGCAACTAAGAAATTGTCTCTTTCTGTACTTACACAAACTACCGTATATACTCGAGTATAAGCCGAGTTTTTCAGCACATTTTTTGTGCTGAAAAACGGCCCCCTCGGCTTATACTCGAGTCAACATCTGCAGATAGTAGGGCGCGCCCCCCCTGAGGCTCCGTCAAGGGGGGCGTGTACAGGGGTGGGCAGAGGGCTGCTGTCTCTTACCTGGCTCCGGTCCCACGATGATCCATCCAGGAAGCGCTGCTCCTTCCGTCACTCCGGCCACTCCCTCACTCCTGCCGCTCGGCTCCGCCTCCTCACTGGTGATTGGCCGCCAGAACTGTAGCTCAGGAAAGGTACACAGGCGGCCAATCACGGGTGAGGAGGCGGAGCCGAGCGGACACGCGAAAATCGAGTGAGGGAAAAGCCGGTAAGTGTGCAGTGCAGAGGTGCTGCTGCAACCACATATGCTGGCTGCAGCAGCACCATACTGCAACAGGGATCAGCAAGTGTCATTAGTGTCAGTGGGAGGAATAGTGCCGCATCATTGGTGTCACTGATACTAATGATGGGGCATTATTCCTCCCACTGACACCAACGATGGGGCACTATTCCTCCCACTGACACCAACGATGGGGCACTATTCCTCCCACTGATACTAATGATGGGGCATTATTCCTCCCACTGACACCAACGATGGGGCACTATTCCTCCCACTGACACCAATGATGGGGCACTATTCCTCCCACTGATACCAATGATGGGGCACTATTCCTCCCTCTGACACCAATGATGGGGCACTATTCCTCCCACTGACACCAATGATGGGGGCACTATTCCTCCCACTGACACCAATGATGGGGCACTATTCCTCCCACTGACACCAATGATGGGGCACTATTCCTCCCACTGATACCAAGGATGGGGCACTATTCCTCCCACTGATACTAATGGTGGGGCACTATTCCTCCCACTGACACCAATGATCGGGCACTATTCCTCCCACTGACACCAAGGATGGGGCACTATTCCTCCCACTGATACCAGTGATGGGGCACTATTCCTCCCACTGATACTAATGATGGGGCACTATTCCTCCCACTGACACCAATGATGGGGCACTATTCCTCCCACTGACACCAACGATGGGGCACTATTCCTCCCACTGACACCAATGATGGGGCACTATTCCTCCCACTGATACTAATGATGGGCCATTATTCCTCCCACTGACACCAACGATGGGGCACTATTCCTCCCACTGACACCAATGATGGGGCACTATTCCTCCCACTGATACCAATGAAGGGGCATTATTCCTCCCACTGACACCAACAATGGGGCACTATTCCTCCCAGTGATACCAATGATGGGGCACTATTCCTCCCACTGACACCAATTTTTTACATTGACTAGTAGGTGCCTCATTTCCCACCCTCGGCTTATACTCGAGTCAATAGTTTTTCCCAGTTTTTTGTGGTAAAATTAGGTACCTCGGCTTATATTCGGGTCGGCTTATACTCGAGTATATACGGTACTTACAATAGATTTAACTCCATCTTTTAGGGTATCAACATTTCCATAGAAAATGGCACTGGAAAAGCGGACAATTTTGATCCCTTCTGGCTCTTCAACCTATAAATTACCAAGCAGAACTATAGGTTAGCAAGCAACAATGTGAACATTACATTATAAAAAACACTTCCGGGTAAACTTTAATAGTCATTTCAAAAGATTACTACTTGTAATAAACTATAATTTGATATAGTTGCTTAGGAGCAAAACTACATACAGTATGCAGTTACAGGCTGGTTCTGCATCAGTTGGCTGCATTGGACATACAGTGTATGCTGTGCACAATTTATTTTACATTTTTCATATTTTCCATTGTATGCCAAATGTTTTTAAACAAGACAGTAAATTTGTTGGATGACTATCCTCTTAAAGTATTACTAAACCCACAGCAGTAAAATCAGTCTGTATATGCAGTAAAGCATGCTTGTTATACTTACTATGGAACTTAAGGGGTTAATTCTCTGCATTGGGTAAAAGGGCTGTTTGATCCTGCCTTCCCTGATCCTCCCCTTCTCCTAAAATCCCCTATCCATCTCCTGATAGTACAGAGCTCTAGGTGTCACTCTGCACATGCTCAGTTTAGTGCTTATTGCTAAAAAGTTGTTTGTTTGTTTTTGGGAGCATGCACGTGATCAGCACAGGGCCAATCAGTGCTGTCCAGACACAGAGTCAGGGGTCATGCAGCCTCATAGGACAGTCAGAGCAGAATAAAAACTCCTACAAGCTTTAACCAGTGCTCAGCCAGACACTGATAGAAGTCACAAGACTGCTATATACTGAAGCTGAGAAAAGGTATTTAGCAGTTTATATTTACTCAAATAATTGCATTTCCATGTTCTGTGTACAGTGGAAGACCAGATAGAGTGAATGCAGGATCCTGGGTTTAGTATTACTGCTAGATAAATAGAAATCTTCTTTATGACAATGGAGGCACCATCCTTTTCTTAACAGCACCAACAGATAACAATATACGGTGTAGCATACAGATCACTAGTCTTCATCTATAATGCCTGCCTTGTATTCATAGTGAAACTCCAGTGTATCGTTTGGTTTTTCTAGTTTTGCATTGGGGAAGGGTTAGAACTTTTATCAGGTATTTAATGATGTGTATCATCAATATTAACAAGACTGAAGCTCTAAAATTTTACAGTTGTCACCGAGAAAAAGATAACATTTCCTAATGGGGATCCCTGTTTTGGTGACAACTGTCACTGTTGAGACACTGTTCCCTTAAATAATTTGGAGAGATTTCCTCTTACTTCCAGTGGCACAGGAATTGAAAAGAGATCTTCCCAATCAGCACATAGACAGCAATAAAAACCTGATCAAAGCTTTGATTCTTCCACACTATCTAAAGATAGAAAAAAAAGATTGATTGGAGTTCCAAGAGTTCTAGTGAGGTATAGGCGTGTTTTAATACCAAAACTGTTAATTGTTAAGTTACGGTTCTGCAGCTTATGATATGTTAAAATATAATATAAAAATATTTGTTATAACTATAATGTAGCCAGCCCATGCACTGGTTTTGATTTAAAATGACCCTGTAAGGGCAGAAATATGAAACTAGACACCATGGACATTGGAGGTATAAGCATTATAACTGCCATTTTCACCCTTGCATTCCTTTCACCTACTGAGTCATTGACCTGGAATAAACACACAGCCAGAAAAACCTATGCTCCTATCCTGTCTGTCCAGATCAGTGAAGTCAAGATCACAAGGACAACTAAAGCCTTAATTTTTTACTTTATAAGGCCAAGCCATAGAAACTTGGTCTGCATGTCATTGGAGACAAACATGTTAGCTGTTAGTAGAAAAAAAAAAAAAAAAAAAAAGCTGGTGCACCAGGCTGAACGGGTTTATTATTAGGTAAAGTTTTTAAAGTGCAATTTCATACATACATTTTTGTATTTTTCAATATCTTTGTAGATATCTGTACCAGGGATATTGCCAAGAGAATTGTATGATGGACTGAAAAATAAATAATTGAAAGTACAGTTGACATATGCCTTATGAAAGTCTAGTATGTTAGTTCAGTAAAATGAATGGTTAAATAAAACATAATATCACTGATTATCAAACTTATTTAATAACAAAAGATATTCCCCTTCAAGTAACAACATAAGTCACTATAATTAATAATATGACAGAGTGTGCTAGTCCCATTAGTATAACCTGTCAAATAAGCTAGATGTGTTCTTTGCAATCTCACAGGGGAGGAACGTATTATTATTACAAATATTATTATTATTATTATTAAGTTAACCTCCCGCCAGTCAAAATCCACCCCAATATTAGGTGTAACAGAATGTCACTCTCTCTAGAGCTGCAAAAGCTTGGAATACCAAATTACATCTCAGCTAAGTGTGTTCTTAGATCTATCCGTAGCATAACTGCTGTTGTAAAAGCTATGGTCTGGTATAATAAAAGGATCCAGTCAGATCCAGAATTTTTGTAATTCTAAATAGCATTTTAAGGGGGTTCCATTACAAAGCAGTCAATTTTTGAAGTCTCTGTACCAGAATATAAATGCAATTTATTTGTTGAAAAATGGCTACTTTGATTACGCATGTTATGGCTTTGTGCAAAAGTCCCCAGTATTGGTCATCCTGGCTGTGAAATATTCAATAATTGTGACTCTGGAAGTAAACAATTTCATAGTGTAAAATGTCATACTTACTACTGGACACGAAGAAATACAGTAAACAATCCGAAGATGATACCAACCAATAATCCTAAATCAATGTCCAAGAGCAGAGATGCAAAACATGTGAAGAGCCAGATAGCCTGAAATGAAACACGTATATAATATCCGTAAAAAACATTCATTGCATAAAGCCCATCCTATTAGTTTATCATGGATAAAAGACAGCAGGCTTCTTATACTGTACATCATTAGAGTACGTATCTTCAGCCACTAAGACCTTTAGCACCACTAATTATTTTGTTTTGAGTGGGTTGATGAAGGTAGCATGTGTGTAAAGTTATCCCATTCCACCTGAAATTACATTTATTAGATGTAGATGGACCTCTCCATTTTTTATGGTTAAAAAAACATTTTACCTGGCGGTAAGAATATCTGTCTCAAAATAACTAGTAGCCCCAAAGAAATCATCAATTATGTTCCTGTTAGTGTCGTTCCTTTAAATTCTGTGTTCAAAAGTTGGTCTGACCGCACATACACTCACCAACCACTTTATAAGGTACACCTGTTCAATTGCTTGGTAACACAAATTGGTAATCAGCCAATCACCTGGCAACAACTCAATGCATTTAGGCATCTGGACATGGTGAAGACGACTTGCTGATGTTCAAACTGAGCTTCACACCCGGTTCACACCAATGCGGTGCGGGAAACACTGCGAATCCTGTGTGTTTCCCGCACCGCATTGCAATCGCATCACGTTGCATTTCCTCTCGAATTTCATGCGGTGTCCTGCACCGCATAATGTGAACCCAGGCTCATAATGGTGAAGAAAGGTGATTGGATTAAATGGAATATAACTGAATCCATTTTGTATACACTAATACAAGATGCTAGTTTAATATACATATATGAGATATGTGCACACTAACAAAACTGTCTATGTCAGCTTCATGTAGAAATGAGTGTTTTTGCAAACCCTTACAAAAAAGCAGATAAGGTTTACTCTCACTTCTGAAAAGTTTTAACCACAAATTGGGTGTTAGGTCAGATTACAGCCATGGTCTGGGCGATAGAGCAGATATGGTATGATAGATAAAGCAGAAGAGTGAAAATGCAAACCTCATACAAATAATTGTTGAGTTAAGGTAAAACAATGTACATGTATCTGATTGGATGGTCTGAGGGTGTGTTTGCCTAAAGACTACAGTATAATAACCCTGATGTTATGCCAATAAAACTGAAGTGTTTGCAATCGCAACTGAGGTGATTTGAGTGCATTCACTTTCCGAGATCTCGTAGCTGTGTCCAGGTGTGACCGTTGGTATCTTGAGGGGGCCCCCAAGGAAAAGGAAAAAGACCACCTACCTACTTTCAGTGGTGTCAGAAAGTGGGATAATTGCCAAGGTAAGTGAGAGTTTTATTTTTTAATGCTTTCTTTACCGAGGTAATTATTCTGAACTTCAGGGAAATTTGGTGGTTGGAGTTTTAGGAGCGAGACTAAGGGATTCTCGGCTCGGGGAATAATACCAGGACACACCTGGCACAGCACTTTGTATAATTTGTAAAAAGTGTGTTATTGTTGTTTTTTTTTGTCTTGTTTGTTAGTTTACTAATTTACTGCTATGGGTAATTCCTCAGGTAAGGAGGAAGGACCTCGTCATGTGCCGCCACAAAAGTTGATTAAGTTGTTTAGAAAAAACTAGAAAGCTGAGGGGAAAGAACACATCTACCTTAAATGAAACTTGTAAAGAATATGTAGCAAGGGTATCCCCTTATGATATTTATTATGTTAATCCCTGGGTGGATAATTTAGTGGGATGGTCAAAAAGACTGGGTGGAGCTAGTTTTCCTTGTGAAGGGGGAAATGACACTATGTGTATGGATATGATTAGAGGAATGTGTTTGCATGAACAGCCTCAGGTAGGTATCTGGGGGACTGGAAATCCAGATTGGGACAAGAATTATATGTATGAAGGGGGTAAGAATTGGTTGAAGTATGCACCAGGCTATAAGACTCTAATTGTAGCAAATGATTTCACACCACCACCGCCATACAAACACAGCGAGGCACGTCCTGCCCCTACAGCTCCACATGCAGCCCCATTATACCCAGCACTCCCACAGGTAAAACAAGTAGATGAAGATGAAGAGGTTCTTATTGCTGCTTCCCAGATATACAGGGGAGTCAGAAGAATCTAGCTCAGATGGGGAAACTGGGAGTGTTAGTCAAAGGGATACTGAGAGGGGTAAAGGGAAAGTAAAGAGGAAGATAAAGAAGGTAGAAAAGAGTGATAGAATTCTTAGGTCAGCAGAAAGTAACAAGGGGGAAGTTAAAGATGAGACAGCTGAGCTAGATATGATGAATTCAGCCTTTCCATTCATGATGATTGGGGAGCAGCTGATTTTAAAGGCAATAGATCCCAAGGAGCTGGATGCTATAGTACAGGGATGCCCTAATCCAAGGAAACCCCCACTTGCATTACACCTCCCCTCCCGGTACAAGCAAAAGATGGACAGGTCTGGTATCATAAATTTCATGTGCTCCCGCATTGTCCTGTGTCCCCCTATTGGGCCGAGATTTGTTAGCTGACCTTAAAGTCGTGATGTCTATCACGGAGGAAGGTATGCTATTGGACACACCTTTCTTAATCTGTCCAGCTATGGATCATGATTTAAATAAGCTCCCTGAAAACCTATGGACTAAGAACACAACGGATGCAGGCCTCATTGACTGCACACCGTATAAAGCCACCCTTAAAACCAGGAACCCTGTTTATCATAAACAATACCCACTGTCCAAAGAAAAAATAGACGGACTTAAACCTATTGTGGAGGATTTTAAAAGCGGGGAATACTGAAGCTGGTAGTATCCCCCTACAATACTCCCATTAATCCGGTAAAAAAGCCCAATGGTGAGTAGATTAGTACAAGATCTCAGGGCGATTAACGATCTGGTCATTCCTATTGCCCCTGTAGTCCCAGATATAACAACTTTGGTAAATGCTATACCTGCCAACGCCACACATTTTACAGTAATTGATCTGTCAAATGCATTTTTTAGTGTCCCAGTTGACCCGGAGACACAGGTATTGTTTACTTTTTGTTTTCAAGGGGAGAGGCTAACCTGGACCCGTCTCCTTCAGGGCTATGTAGACTCGCCGGCAGCATATACCATGGCCAGTAGATCCATGCTCAATGACTGGGTACCCACCCATGGTTCAGTACTTATCCAATACGTGGATGATTTACTGATTAGTTCTGTGAGCGAGAAGGCGTGTCAGGCTGATTCATTATCATTGTTACGGTTTCTGGCTGATCAGGGACAGAAAGTCTCTCGCAAAAAGATGCAGTTTGTGGCACCACAAGTTGAGTACCTAGGATTTGTATTGTCTGAGGGCCAGAGGGGGCTGAGCCCAGGAGAGTGGCAGCAATATGTCAACAACCAAAACCAGAAACTAAGGTTCAGATGCAATCCTTCCTAGGTATGGTAAACTATTGTAGACAGTGGATTCCTGACTGTTCTTATTATGACAATGTATTACGCCAAGTGACACTGAAAGATCAGCCAGACCGTATTGAATGGACGCTGCCATTGGTGCAGGCATTTGAATATTTGAAGACAGCACTGGTCTCGTCTCCCGCATTAGGGTTACCGGATTATACTAAATCTTTTCATTTGTATTGTCAATCTGCATGTAAAACCATGGCTGCAGTACTAGCTCAAGAGCACGGAGGTGCCATGAGGCCGGTAGCATATTTATCAAAAACAATGCCCATCCCGGTCCAGGGCATGCCGGGGTGTCTCCAAGCTTTGTCTGTGTGTGCCTTGGCTGTGGAAATGGCATCTATCATAGTTTTGGGAAACCCATTGATATTACACACATCTCATCATGTCCTACATGTACTGAAAAACATTAACACTCAACACATGTCAGCACAACGCCTGGCGGGATGTGAAGTAATTTTGACATCCACCAATAATCTCACAGTTAAATACAGCCCATCTACATCAGGACCATCTCTTTTATTGTCCTCCCTGCTTAATCTTCACAACACAAGGTCACCAGAATTGCAGGAGGAGCACAATTGCCTGGATGTTATCCAAGCTGACACTTCTCCGCGACTAGATATGTTGGAGACTCCGATTCCTGGAGCCCCTGATGTGTTTGTCGATGGATCTTGTACACGCCCTAGTGATGCTACATACATCATAGGCTATGCAGTAGTAGAACCACCTCTTATTATTGAAACAGGTTCCATCCCCTACCCCAGTGCACAAGCAGCTGAATTAGTGGCCCTAACACGAGCTTGCACTCTTTATCAAGATCGAGATGTTAACATATACACAGATTCTAAATATGTCTTTGGGGTTGTACATGATTTTGGCCGTATTTGGCAACGCCGTGGTTTCACTACGGCCGATGGCAAGTCAATATCCCATCATTCTTTGATCCAGGATTTGCTTGCTGCACTCCAACTTCCAAGAAGGATAGCGGTCATTAAAGTGCGGGCACATACTAATGCCAAAGACCCAGTCACAAAAGGCAATGCTATGGCAGATGCAGCTGCAAAAACTGCAGGGCAACTGCATAATCGAGCAGATCTATCTATGGTAATGTTGTCCACTCCATCCCTACTGTCAAATGAGCTTTTAGGTACACTGCAGGCACAAGCCTCTGAGAGTGAAGTTGATTTTTGGGCTAGCAGAGGTTTGACACAAGACAAACATGGTCTTATGTCAAAAGAGGGGATTGTAGGACTTCCACAGGCAGCTGCTGTATTATTCATTCAAAATTTTCATGGTGTAGGTCATAAGGGAAAACAGTTAGTGGAGAAAGAAATGCGCAAACGATTTTGTGTATGGTTTTTCTCCATGATTTGGTGGAGGAAACATTGGGAAGGTGCCTTACTTGTTTACAAAACAACCCTGGGCATGGCCAGCATGGGAAACATGAACATTTAACACCCCCTGAGGCACCATTCACACATCTACAGATAGATTTTACACATCTCCCTAAATCAAAAGAAGGAGATAAGTTGTTGGTGGTAGTAGACAGATTTTCAGGTTGGCCAGAAGCTTTCCCATGTAGGAATGAAACAGCAGAGACAGTGGTCAAGGTTTTGTGTAAGGAAATCATCCCTAGATGGGGTTGTCCTTTGTTCATAGAAAGCGATCAGGGACCAGCTTTTACTGCAGCAGTGACTCAGGGAGTCTCAAAGGCTTTGAGTATTCAATGGAAGCTCCATATTCCTTATCACCCTCAGAGTTCTGGAGTAGTGGAAAGAATGAATAGAACAATTAAGGATAAATTAGTGAAAGCCACGGGAGGGACTCTGAAGAATTGGCCAGCTGTGTTACCTGCTATACTAGCTGAAATAAGGATGACACCTCATAAACGGAGTAAAGTTGTCTCCCTTTGAGATACTAATGGGCAGACCATTCCCTACCCCTTGGACTAGACAGCAACCCCCTCTGTGGTAGAAAGGAGATTTAGAGGTGATACAGGCAGAATATGTAAAAGCATTGTGTGAAAAGTTGAATAGCGAACAAAATGATGCTGCTGTTTTTTTTTCTTTTATCCGCAGATCAACCAACCCACCCCTTCGAGGTAGGTGATCAAGTGGTGATCCGAAGACTGGATCCAAGGGTGAGACCCCGGTTTGGAGAACCTACAGTGATCGTGGCCATTACACGTACAGCTGTTCTTACTGAAGGATCAGGCACCTGGATCCATGCATCAAGAGTCAAAAGGATTTCCCAAGATGAGAGACACAATCAAGCTGATCAACCAACAGAAGAAGGAGCCAAGAACTTTGCTACCCAACCTATTGGATCCCCATGAGGACTGGATGAACTTGATTATTATCTTATCAATAGTGACTATTATCATCGTCCCACTATGGTTTCTATTGGAGATTTCATATGATAGAAAGGAGCCAGTGGTTCAGAAACCCTCTGGGAGTTCAGGATGGGTGAGGGGTTACCTCATCACAACTGAATGATCATGTGTATCAAAATGAGAATTAATGAGAAGGAAAGGGAGGAAATGTTTTTGCTTCAACAATATGAGGAAATGCATGGGATTGAGACGATAGGGAGAGTAAGTCAATGAAAAGTGTTATCACTATGTGATAAAAGAGGGGACTGAAAGGATTAAATGGAATATAACTGAATCCATTTTGTATACACTAATACAAGATGCTAGTTTAATATACATATATGAGATATGTGCACACTAACAAAACTGTCTATGTCAGCTTCATGTAGAAATGAGTGTTTTTGCAAACCCTTACAAAAAAGCAGATAAGGTTTACTCTCACTTCTGAAAAGTTTTAACCACAAATTGGGTGTTAGGTCAGATTACAGCCATGGTCTGGGCGATAGAGCAGATATGCATGATATGGTATGATAATAAAGCAGAAGAGTGAAAAAACCTCATACAAATAATTGTTGAGTTAAGGTAAAACAATGTACATGTATTTGATTGGATGGTCTGAGGGTGTGTTTGCCTAAAGACTACAGTATAATAACCCTGATGTTATGCCAATAAAACTGAAGTGTTTGCAATCGCAACTGAGGTGATTTGAGTGCATTCACTTTCCGAGATCTCGTAGCTGTGTCCAGGTGTGACCGTTGGTATCTTGAGGGGCGTTTGTGTTTTTGACTACCCACTCTTTCTGTCATCATGGACATCTTCCCACCCCTCCTTAAACCACCTATGCCATTCAGAAACACTTGGTTTCTTCATGAAATGTGCACCATAAGCATGTTCTAACAGAGCTAAAGTTTCACTTGCACTTTTTCCAATTTAAATTCAAAATTTTATGTTAATCCGCTGTTCCAGATTCCTGTCACTCTTTTTCCACCAACAGTGTAATGCACATACTGTGCATGTTATTCCTCTACTACTCTGTAAAGACTGAGTCAGCTGGTCTGTGGCCCAGGAGAGTGCAAGTTAGATCATGTCAGAATGCTGTTAAGTGCAAATGGCTGTGTGACTTACCACCATAGTGCTACACCATGGGCATTCCAGTAATTAAATTGTCACACCTTATACAGTGACAGGAATTTGCACCATTGACGCTGCCCTTGCACATATTGTGCAGTCTGAATGGTCAACGTTTGGCAGGCCAATATTCTGTAATATTGTTCATAGTTATCCAAATGCACTGTACAGAAGGCACACAGGCACATGTGCAAGTTGACTGACCCAATGCCAGTGATACCATACAGGGAAGCAAACCCTTTTGGCTAGTTCTCAGAAAACAAGGTGCTTAACAAGTACCCCATCTAAGCCTTGGAGGAGCCACTCACCCCAGAAGAAATGGATGGTCTCTTATTAGGGGAGGGCAGATTCTCTTTGTTTTAGTATGAATTTAAAAACCTGTTACACAGAGAACCTTTTTAAAAGAATTTCTAACTAATTAAACAAAATGAATTGTGTATCACCTTTAAATACATTTGTATTGTCACAAAAAGGGATGCTACAAATGCTCTGAAAGATAAGTTGATTGTCATATATGGTAGATAACAATTAAATGTCTGACAACACATATTGGATATAACATAGTATGTTTAATTTCATATTGTTAAAACATGTTCACTCTATATAAAATAGTCAAAACCTTTGGATTTGAAGAATTTTCTGCACGGACTGTGTGATTTTTTTCCTGTAGCTTTATAGATAAATGACACAACATAGAGCACCATTTAGTTTGCCTTATTGTTTGCCTGAAACTACAAATTATCTGTAAACAAATGATGACATTATCCCTCAAAATCCAGTGACACCACTGTATATGAATACTCTATGATGAACTGATATAAACACCTACATTGAATAATCTAAACTTTTCTTTTAATAGAAATGCTTGAGATAATATTTGCATTGATGCTTACTGTATCCCACTTGCTTTGTCTCCACAAGCGAGGAACATCCACCACCTGCCAGAACATCCCCTTTAGGTTGGATATAACGATGGCAGCCAAAACAGACTATAATGAAAACAGAAGTGCACATTTTACAATATTTTAGGAAATTAATATAACAAAAACATCAGAAAACACTAACTGTATTAGGCCTATTGGAGCTAAACATGGAAAAATCACATGTCAACACGGTACTGTGTTTACCCACGTTTAGCGCTTAAATGTTTATTTATTTCATTGGCCAGAGTGCTTGCCATTGAAATGAATAAACGCCCGAACTCACGTTCATGAGCAGCAGTGTGCATGAGGGCTTCGGGGTACCTGTATTTTTGACGTGTGCACATCAGTCTCAGAGGTCATTTGGGACTCGTAGGGGGGGGGGGGGGGGGGGGGAACTGTATACGATATTATGCATGCTTCAAATGCAGGAGGTTATTGCCGCTCAAAGAAATATATTGATCACCATAGTTTCCATGGGTCACTGTTATCTGTTTGGAGGTCCAATAATTATGCTTGATCTTCAGTTGGGCTCTCCAAGATACACACAGCACATAAATACATCAGGCACTCTACCTCTTCCTATCTACATAGGCATTTTTTCTAATGTGTTGGCTTTCCTTCACATAATACTGCAAGATGAAAAATGAATACTGTCAGTCTGTAACTACATGTAAATCTGTGTGTACACTTCTTTGTACCAATGTACTACTACTATTACTACTACTATTTACCTTTTGCAGAGGCTCCAGGTATGTACCAATTGACAGCAAGGATATCATGACAACAACTGCAGTAAGCAAACCAGCAATCTGAATAAAAGAAAGAACAGAAAATATCTTCGTATTATCAAAACTAGAATAGATAAAAATTCTGCAACAGCTAAATTTGTTAAGGGCATCTAAATTAAAGGAGGGGGGCGGGGGAGAGAATGCAGCATGGATCCTGACTGTGGAATGGTCAAGGGCAACTACATAACCTACAGTAAATCTGTTGTACTGCCTCACCTGTGTTTTACCACCAGTGCTTTCTTGCACAGCAGAACGGGATAGGGCCGTTGTAGCACAAAAGCAAGAGAAACATCCACTGAATATATTGCTGACGCCAAATGCAATGAATTCCTATAAAGGAGATCATATAAAATAAATAATTTTCCCACTGAAGATAAAATTTTTGTAAAATAGATTTTCTTGCAATAGATATATTTTACATATTTGCCTGTCTATATACAGAAGGGGGCTATGAAATTGTTACCTGATTTCCATCAATTTCATAGTTGTACTTTATGGCATACACTTTCCCCAAAGAGACAGCTAAAGCATAAGCCAATATTCCAATGGAAAAGGCTGGTACAATCATCTGAGAGAACAGGCTTACATCTGGTGCCACAGGTGGAATAAAGCTGTATTTAAAATAAAGAAAACATTTTTAAGTTCTATACTTTCTAAAAATTCTAGAAACATCTGTGACATTTCTATTGCACAGCAAGGGCAGTACAAGGAAGAGGTACATGCTGTAACTTATAGAATGACCATAAGTAGGGTCAACGTAAGCAAGTTAAAGATGTTGGTGCTAGTGTTTTTAACATCTCCCACCCCAGCATGTATACATATGTCTCTGTACTTGTAAATAAAAATGGGCTTCATGTTCGAGTCGAAATCAGTCCTCTGTAGGTTGATCATTTTAATTTCCATCAAATGACAGGGCATCCTTACATTCCTAACATATTACCCAGTCCTTATCAATATAGATATCCAGCATGAGATTTTTCTCCATTGAGAGCTGATGTGTTTTCAAAGTGTTTTTTTAAATTTTGTTAAGCAGTGTATATATTTAAAGAGATGTTCCATGCAGTAAAAAAAACATTTAGTATTATACTGATCTCTCTAGCAGCCTGTGTCCTCTTCGTTTTCTTCATTTAAGCACTGCAGCTTCTGTTAGAGTTAGACAGAGGGCGAAACCACAGAGCAACCAGAAGGACACAGGCAACTGACATTCCTGGAAATGTTTAATACTGAAGAGTGTGATGGAGGTGTAACAGTGGAGTGCAAGGTAGGAAACACTGTCCAATGGAGAGGGGAGTATAAAACCTCCTCTATTTTGATGAATTTATATTATTTTTTTAAGGCAATGGTAGTGCGACTTTAAGGAATATAACTAATATCCTATAAATATATGCGATTACCACAAACAGATGAATTTCTTGGCCACACTTACCCGCTTGGAACATTCTTCACAATAGCAGCATTATAGTTCTCCTCTAAATTGACTCCATATGAAATCCCTGTTGCAACTATTGCCTGATAAAACAGTGACATATATGGAAATAAGCAAATACAAGCACATAATAAATAGAATGCAGGATGCAATACATAGAGTTGTGTTCAAAATAATAGCAGTGTGTTGAAAAAAGTGAATAAAGCTCAAAATCCTTCTAATAGCTTTTATTTCCATACACATAAATGCATTGGGAACACTACACATTCTATTCCAAATCAAAACATGAAGAAAAATATATCAAATTTGTGTTGTTCCTCTAAATAAATTGAAGAAAAGTGAATATTAGACTGTTCAAAAAAATAGCAGTGTTTGTATTCTTCTTTACAAACTCAAACATTCACTATATAAACTGAAAAATGTTTGAAGATTTTGCTTTCCTTTGAATCACTTAATTAATATTTAGTTGTATAAGCACTGTTTCTGAGAACTGCTGTACATCTGTGTTGCATGGAGTCAACCAACTTTGGCACCTGTGAACAGGTATTCCAGCCCAGGATGATTGGACTACATTCCACAGTTCTTCTCGATTTCTTGGTTTTGCCTCAGAAACTGCATTTTTTATGTCACCCCACAAGTTTTCTATTGGATTAAGATCCGGGGATTGGGCTGGCCACTCCATAACGTCAATCTTGTTGGTCTGGAACCAAGATGTTGCACATTTACTGGTGTGTTTGGGGTCGTTGTCTTGTTGGAACACCCATTTCAAGGGCATTTCCTCTTCAGCATAAGGCAGCATGACCTCTTCAAGTATTCTGATGTATTCAAACTGATCCATGAACCCTGGTATGCGATAAATAGGCCCAACACCGTAGTAGGAGAAACATCCCCATATCATGATGATTGCGCAACCATGCTTCACTGTCTTCACAGTGTACTGTGGCTTGAATTCAGTGTTTGGGGGTCGTCTGACAAACTGTCTCCAGCCACTAGACCCAAAAAGAACATCTTACTGTCATCAGTCCACAAAATGTTGCGCCATTTCTCTTTAGGCCAGTCAATGTGCTCTTTGGCAAATTGTAACCTCTTCAGCACGTCTTTTTTTCAACAGTGGGACTTTGCGGGGCTTCTTGCAGATATCTTGGCTTCACATAGGTGTCTTCTAATTGCAACAGTACTCACAGGTAACTTTAGACCTTCTTTGATCTTCCTGGAGCTGATTGTTGGCTGAGTCCTTGCCATTTTGGCTATTCTTCTATCCATTTGAATGATAGTTTTTCGCTTTCTTCCACGTCTTTCAGGTTTTGGTTGCCATTTTAAAGAATTTGCGATCATTTTAGCTGAGCAGCCTATCATTTTCTGCACTTCTTTATATGTTTTCCCCTCTCCAATCAACTTTTTAATCAAGGTACGCTGTTCTTCTGAACAATGTCTGGAACGACCCATTTTCCTCAGAATTTCAGAGAGAAATGCACTGTAACCAGCATGTACAACATTTGCTGCCTTCCATCCTTAAATAAAGGCAATAGTTGCCACCTGTTTTTCCAAGAATGAATGACCTCACTAATAGAACTTCACACTGCTATTATTTTGAACATGCCCCTTTCAATTAGCGATTCAATTACACAGAATCAGCAGCATGCATGTCATGACTGTTGGGTCTGTTGGATTTCTATTACTCTACTACACCTGCTAGTAAATTATTTGTCATGTAGAAATATCATTTCTACCAAAAACAGTGATTGATCAGGTTAGTGATGTCTGACTGCTATTATTTTGAACACAACTGTATATTCTAAAGTAAGTATTATGTTTAAGTACAAAATTTCTACAACAGGTCAGGACCAATGGTGCATACAAGTGCCTTCAGCTCATCTCTCTTTCAGGGCCTTTAATTTGTGTTTATTACCAAGGGTGGGACTGGAATATACAATATATAAAAAATATATAAAACTGTAAATATTACACAAATATTTGATTACAGCCCTAGGAAAAAGGGAGCATGTAGTGTAGGATAATACACACAAATTCACATAAGAAAACATTTGACTGTCCTATTCTGTAAACTAGTGATAAAGTGGAACTTCACTCTCTCAATCAACATTGACTATTTTTAATCCTTATGCTGCTAGCATTAGTAAATAGATAGGAAAGTATATCATATTTACTTGTTTTAAACTTGTTTTTTACATTTCTTTAGTTACTTCCTAGTTTCTATGCCTAGGCAAATGATGTCACATATCCCAGGAGCCTTCAGGAGGGGGGAGGGTTCTCAGCTCAGCCAATGCCTGAGGTAAGGGTAGATGGATTCCAAGAAGTAAATGCCACATAAATCATCTTCCATTTCTCAAGATGGCCACTGCCAGAAATACCAGGGGGTGTTTTTCAAAATGAATTCTCAGCAAAATAAAGCATGGAGACATGGATGGATGGGTGAGACTGCTTTAAATGTTAATAATGAATTATATTGCATTTTCGGTTTGTGGTGCTCATATGCAGTGCAGTTCCACTTAACGACTTCACTATTCAAATACCAAATGACAGTTTATTACTTTTATACAGTTAAATAGTTATATTATAAGACAGCTGTACCTTTAATTAAACAAAAATCTCCCTTTGTGCCCCCCACTCCCCTTAAGAAGTAGGCCCCAGATACAGCACAGTATCTCTCTATACTGCCAGGCTTTCAATGGTACCAGGCAGTTTTCTTCCTGGTTGTTGTGTTTTCCAGTGCAAGTGCAACAATGTGTGTCGTGGACATAAAATAAATGGGAGAGCCTATCTCTTTCATCTATACGAAGCTTGCATACATGCCTGAACAGTATAGAACCACAGCCGGGGAGAAAATAGAGTACAAAACCTAGAGGGGTACAACACAATATCTGAGTATCTGAGGTCTGAATCTTATGCTTGCCACCTTAGAGGGGAGGGAGCACATAGGGAGTATGTTGTATAGAGGTGTAGTTACACATTAATGTTGTCATACTTCCTATATGGCTTGTGAATTGGGAATAACTCACTGTCAGTTGTATTTGAGGGTCACTTTGAGAACTACTGCTTCACAAAATACATAAAACTAATAAAGAAAACTAGTAGAGATATTGCGTACCTGTTTCTACTATATATAATAATTCATAAGTGAATTGGAATAATATACCAACCAGATTTTATAAAACATTTCTTTTTCATAGTAAACTGCAACTAATAGCGTTGAAAAAAAATATTACATAGGCTTATAAGCAAAATTGCACATTTTGAATCTTATCAGTATTTAAAATTTTATCTAAATCAAAATTTCAGACAGACTTTATGTGGTTTTTCTAACTGTATTATTTAAATGAACCTAAAAAGCACAATCGTGTTTCCCGTTTTTCAAAGATACTGATAATTCATGTCACATATATATATGTTTTACCTAAAATAAACTTTTAGGTCTGGTTCACACTAGTGTAATTTTAGATGCGACTTGAGTCACACAGAATGGCATGACATGGGAAATTACATTGTTTTCTTGTTCAATATTTTTTTAATCAATAGTAACAAAAAGGCACAGTCTTACAAGGAGCACCTAGTCTGTCCACACAGGGGTTATGACTGGCGCCATCAGGTGGAACAAATATACCGTACATAAGAGGCATAAAGGAGGAGGAGCATCCTCCATGAACATATTGAACACAAGGCATAACATGTGAATCCACCGGGGATATCCAGTGGCTGTCAAAGGTAGCCCAGCTATCAAAACTATCAACACATAGTGTAACAAACTTGGGTGTAGATAAATCTAAGAAAGGCACAGGCCGCCTAAAAAAAAAGGAAACAAAAGAGAATTCAAAGGGAAGACATAGGCAAGAGAAAGGGAGGATAAGAGATAAGGGATCTGGGACTGTCGGAAACACCAGCCAGAGCCGGCCCACATGTGTCAAAGAAAGATCAGGGAAGGCGTACATCCACCATGGTTCACATTTTTTTTTAAAATTTGGCATGGGAATCATTAAGAATACTAGACATGTGTTCATTAAGCATCAGGACCGTCAAATGGTCTTTCACCCCCTGAAAGAAAACTGGGGGTTTCTTCCATACCTGGGCAATGCTACAAGGTGAATTTCACCTCCTTTTAGATGGTCAGACGGAACAGAAAATACATTAGGCCAAACACACGAGACCAAAAGCCTACCAGACGTGGACATGTCCACCAGGTATGTAAAAAGTCCCCACGATGGCCACACCCACAAACACAGTGGTCAGCAGAAGTTAGGTTAGCGTCAGCTATGCGAGCAGGGACCCAATACCACAGCAGCAATGCTTCGTATGCTGCCTCTAGGATGGCAGTGTTTAAATGGGAATTTAGTGGTAGAAGACAAAGACTATGCTCCAGTCCATTGCCTCGATCTCAAATTCCAGGTCTCATTCACATTGGGCCACATAAGAGAGAGAGGCATGAGATGATCAATTATTCAGAGACGCATAGAGTGAGGAGGGAGACACAGTGTGCAGATATGCTTGTGGTAATTTCCGAAACAGATAAGATGAGGTACGTTGAAGGGAAATATCCAGTGCTGAAGTTGAAGAAATCAAATACTGACAGTGGATCGTCATGGGATATATGAAAGGCAGCCCACGTCAGGGGGGAGTTTCATTTCAGAAAGTGTCGCACTTGTATGAGGTCCACCAAGAGAAGCCAAAAGGAGAGGGGGAAACAGGAAGTTGTTAGTGATAGGTAGCAAAGGAAAAGAGGGAGACACAAGAGACTTGAGTAAAGCACCGATCCTAAAGATGCAAGCAATGTTGGGGGGCCACTAGTCACATTTTCTGAGGGAGCCATAAAAGATTTGGATCAGCCTAAATTTCGCAGTGGGAAGCTCCACGCACCCATTTACATTGAACACCTGGAGGCAGGTCAGTGGGGAAATTTAGGCCCAAATCGTATTTATATGGGGCCCCCCAATCCCCCTTGACTGTATGTAACCTATGTAAGAAAAGGGTAGCCTTGGAGATTCTGGGGTGTTTATCGGCCCAAATAAAGCATAGAATTCTACTCTGGATCCGGCAGGGGAGATGTGGGGGTACTTGTACAAGTAGGGTGTGGAAATAGTACAGGAGTTTATTAAACAGTCATCTTCACTGAATTAATATGACATATGCAAGACAGATATGGACACCCCAAAACTGCATAAGAGAGATTAGTGAGTAAAGCAAAGGGTATAGTTGACAGAGAACAGGGAGGAATAGGTAGGGGTCAGTGGAATGCCCAAATAATTAATGGATGAGGCTGCCCAGCGAAACAGGAAATGGGATTGTAGACGAGTAATCAGAGCCAGATCCTGGGTGACATTCAAAGCTTTGGAATTGTCTAGGTTGACCCAGAGGCCCGATTTAGATGAAAAAGGCATCAACTAGTGTAGCAAATTAGGAAGAGTCATAAGTGATTAGTCAGCATAAGGGGGCATCATCCACAAAAAGACGCACTCTGAAATCATGGCCTGCATAAGGTATTCCAGTAACACTTTGGTTCGTGTGAAAGCGCGACTGCTAAGGGTTCTAGTGCTAAAAGAAACAGTGCTTAGGACACCGGGCAACCCTGTCTGGAAAGGTGCTAAAAGATACCCAGCATATTTAAACGAATGCTGTAGGTGTGGAGTATAAGGATTTGATCCAGGTTAGCAGGAGTCTCCAAAACTCCAATGAGAAAGTACAAACTGTAAGTATTCCCAGGATAAAGAGTCAAAATGCCTTATAGATATCCAAAGAGAAAAGAAAGCCAGGAATCTTCCAGTGATGTAAGAGATGGATGAGATGTACAACTTAGAGAACATTATCGCCCGCCTGCCTACTGGGCACAAAGCCAACTTGGTCTCTATGTATTAGATGGCACATATATTTGCTGAAATTCAAGATCTTCCCCAGAATTTTCAAGTCTTTGTTCAGAAGGGAAATCAGCCAGAAAGCTTGGGATCACTCACATCCTCTGGCGTTTTGGGGATCATTGAGATATGAGCTCTGAGGGTGTGAGATGAGGGCATTGACACAGTTTTCAGGGCATTTGAATAATTGGCTAAGTGAAGTACTAGAAGGGCAGAGAATGTCTTATAATGTCTTATAATAGAGACCCAAAACCCATCAGGGTCGAGAAATCACATTGTTTTCAATGGTATCTGGTCACATCAATGCAATGAAGCATTTTTTAAAAAGTTCCTGTACTACTTTGATATAATTTAATTGCAATTATGCCCCCTAGAATATACAAACCTTATCAAAGTTGTATCCAAGTGGCACTACATAATCGCACTGAAAGTCGGATCAAAATGATATTGCAGCAGTGTGAACCTTGCCTTACTTTGACATTGGAACAATTGAATATGAACCCAAAGTTTTACATCTCTATTGCTATTAACAGATTCAGGGACTTCACCTACCACAATTACTTCAATAGGAACTGGAATACGTAGAATATGTTTAAATCGCTCATTTAAATCTTTCACCCCCAAACATAACACTAAAGTTATGAGTCCAGCAGTAAGATCAGCAAAGTTGGTTTTACCAATGTTGGCAAAAATGTCCATAGTTGTCTAAATAAAAAAGAAAAAAAATATGGTTATGTTTTTAGTATACAACCAATATAAAAAATGATGCCTCTAAGAAATACACTCAAAACAATGAACAGTATACAGTTCCAAATAATGCTGCAACATTTCAGACAGGTCCATCATTTCCCCAAATGCCCTGATCAAAATCCATCCCTGGATTTGCTTGCTTACAAAGCTGCATCGAAGAATGATTTTTGTTTTCTCTTTGGTCCACATTGTGTTATCAGTATTAGATTTGTTCTCCTACTCTAAACTGGCTAAACAGGGGAAAAGAAGGTCTAGTACTTTTACATTTTTAATTATTAAAGGCTTTTTATTTTTGCAAGAAAATCTGATTTTTTTTTCACTCGCCCAAAAATCCTTTTCCATAGTAGTTGTTTGAGAGACACAGAATTCAAATCATTATGTATGAGTATAGTTGTTGCCTGGAGGAGACTAGACCCTAGCGGCTATACCTCTGCAGGTACACCACAAATTCAGAAGTAGGAATAAGTCAGCCAACTGTAGACATGGAAGGAAAACTTTTAAAGAATATCTGGGACACAACAACAGGTCAAAAAAGCAAAAAAGACAAGCACCTGATGGGAGGGTGCTAGGTCTCCTAAGGAATTACTGGAGAAAATGATTTTATAGTGAGTACAAAAAATCCTATTTTCTCCAAGTGTTCATTGAGCACACTACTGTGGTGCAGGAAATACAGCAAATCCTGTGCGTTTCCCGCACCGCACTGCAATCGCACATCATCCATGCAATCTGGTACATGTGTCAATGGTAAATTAACGACAACCCGACACAGATCGCAAAACACAGTACGATTACCAAAATTGGTTGTAAATACTCTTGCGATGCGAATCAGGTGCAGGGAAAAAAGATTCCTGCACCTTTTTGGTGTGGATGCAATTTGAGCCATACAAAACGTACGGCTCTAATCACACTGCATAAACATCGCACGTGATTTGCACAGGAATGCAGTGCGGTTCCTGTGTGAATCACATGTGATGTGCTGCACTGCATTAGTGTGAGCCAGTGTTCAAGGACGCAGAATATAACCCGTCTACATATGGGATAGCCAAAAACAGCCCCATTGAAATGGAAAGGTAGAACAAAACAAGTGCCAAGACATCCCTCAAGGAGAATTTGTGTGACCACAGCTATAAGCAGGACTTTATATTCAAAGTTAGCAACAGCCAATGCAGCCACATCTTCACAGTAAAAAGTAGTAAAGTGTGAACTAAAAACCAGAGAGAAGCCTTGCATACCTAGGAGTCTGATGCCTGTGCCAGAAGGCACACCCTGAAAGCCTTCACCACATATAAAGGGTGTAAAGCTATTTTCTTCTAGAGCAGTGGTCTCCAAACTGCGGGGGCCAGATGCAGCTTGCCTTTATCCGGCCCTTGAGGCACTATTCTTCCCACTGACATTAAAAATAGGGCATAATTTCTGCCACTGACAGCAATGGGGCACTATTCCTCCTACTGACACCAATGATAGGGCACTATTCCTCCCACTGACATCAATGATGGGGCACTATTCTCCCACTGACATCAATGTGGGGCACTATTCCTCCCACTGCCACCAATGATGGGGCACTATTTCTCCCACTGACATCAATGATCGGGCACTGTTCTTCCCACTGACACCAATGATGGGGCACTGTTCTTCCCACTGACACCAGTGATAGGGCACTATTCCTCCCACTGACACCAATGATGGGGCACTGTTCCTCCCACTGACACCAACGATGGGGCACTGTTCCTCCCATTGACACCAATGATGGGGCACCGTTCTTCCACTTACACCAATGATGGGGCACTATTTCTCCCACTGACATGATGGGGCACTGTTCTTCCCACTGACACCAGTGATGGACACTATTCCTCCCACTGACACCAATGATGGGGCACTGTTCCTCCCACTGACACAATGATGGGGCACTGTTCCTCCCACACACCAATGATGGGGCACCGTTCTTACCACTTACACCAATGATGGGGCACAGTACAGCCCACTGTCACTAATGATTGGGCACTATTCCATCCACTGACACCAGTGGTGGGGCACTATTTCCCTCACTGATGCCAATGATGGGGCACTATTCCTCTGACAGACACCAACAATGGGGCATTGTTACTGACACCAGCACATTTTCTACTCCTACAGGCCACAGTCCAGCCCTCTAAAGTCTGAAGGGTAATAAACTGTCCCTTTCTTTAGAAAGTTTGGACACACCTGTTCTAGAGGGAAAAGTTAGGAAAATTTTGTAGTTGCAAGTCCTTGGTTCCTGGCATGAATATCTAGTATCTGGGGTTCCAGTATGATAGTGCCAGCAGATGCTTGATAGAAAAACCTTTATCTGTAAGTTTTCAATCCTGCAGAGCTAAAGAACATTCCCTGGGGAATTCAACAGATCCATTAATATCAATTTTCTGGTGGTAGTTCCTTTTAAAACTACCTGCATATAAAAGAGAAACATTACTGACATGTATAACAAATTCAGGTAGTTCTTAATACTGCCATTTTAAGAAACTGTTGCTATGGCAGTGAAAAATAATCGTCAGTTTGCAGATTAGGATACTGGCAGTATTTAAAGAGCAGCTCTGAGATGACATACAGAGGTACCCCAGTGCTTGGGATACTGTAGTGTGGGAAGCCATGAATGTGACAGCTTCCTGGACAGGCTTTGTCCCCAGCCTCATTTATGCAGTCGGGCATAGCACAGCCAAAGCTAAATGTAAACAAAGGGGCCGTGGACATTTGTGATATTACCCAAATCATCAATGCCCATTTCTGAAAAAGAGAAGCTCACAGGGGTGGCTAATGAGCTAGTCTCCATGGCCACAGCATGCGTTTTTGATGCGGAACTGAGTGCCATCAGTTCCGCCTTGCTATTGACTGGTGGTGGATGGAATAAAAACGTATCTTGGACTAAACAGAGACTATGGATCCGCTGACTGCCATGAACTGTCAATCAAAAAGAAGGTGGAACTGTTGAGTACCTAGTCTCATAGTTCCCCATCAGGCTGTGCCCACCACACTAGAAAAATAAAAATCCACCTGTCTGTATAGTGGCCGGGAAAAGAGGTGATGAAGGATGCCCACTGTGGACATCCTAAACCAGTGCTGCCCCTAAGACATTCATGTACATGTTTCTGATGGGTACCTGAATCTGGGACTAACACTGACAATTTCAGTGCGAAAACCTGATAGAATCCTAAAAGATGTCTAAGGGCACTCTAGATTTTTTTGACTCTGCCTAAGCTAAACTGTACATCCAAAGCTCCACGACATGGGGCTGTGCCATGCTTTATCTACCAATGTCCTGGAGTGCAGCTATATGCACATGTAGAGGATTGAATCCCCTTGCCCAATGAATGCTGAGCGGAAAGGTTTTTTGAGAATTGAGAAGTGCATTAAGTGAGTTTACGAAATATAAATACTCTAGATACAAACTAAGTTAGACTTTACAATCCAGACTCAATTTCCAATGTATAATAAAAATACCACATATTACGCACACCAAAAACTTTTAGCCCTCATGCACACAGAGCGTTAATAATACTGCTTCTAAGGGCATCTAGCATTTTTTTTCTGCCTCTAAATGTCCCTCCATGTTAGCCTACTGTATGTGCCCATGCACACATAGGCAATAGAGGCAGAAAAAAACCCACTGCCAGTGTGTCCATGAGCAGCGAAAATGATACTCGCTTGATTGCCAAAAGGAAAGGTGTTTAGAAGAGCTGGGAAATCACCATGTGCATGAGTTCTTAAGTCAATAAGTAAGCTGATTTTTTTTTATATTGCCCTTCCATCGGGTGACTATAATCTCTCCGGATCAATATCATAAACTAATGAAGGATTAATCTCTCCGTGAAAAGACTGAATGTTCCATACATTGAAATTTGGCATAATTATTTGACTTTTTAGAGGTCATGGCATTATGGAGAATCAAAGGGGGAGCATGACACCATCACATATTATTAAACATTATAACGGCACCACCTGCCTGGAGTTTGCATGTTCTCCCTGTGCCTGCGTGGGTTTCATCCAGGTACTCTGGTTCCTCCCACACTCCAAAACATGCTGGTAGGTTAATTGTATTCTGTCTAAATTGGCCTTAGTATGTGTATGTATGAATGTGAGTTAGGGACCTTTAGATTGTACGCCCCTTGAGGGTTAGGGACTGATGTGAATGTACAATATATATGTAAAGCACTGTGTAAATTGACGGCACTATAGAAGTACCTGAAATAAATAAATAAATAAAATAATGGTTGCAGACATTTCGATGGAATTAGAACTCCCAGAAGCTATTTGCTCACGAGTGTGCCAGATGTGAAAGTAGTCAGCATGAGAAACAATTTGCCTGTAACTACACAAAAACTTTAATAGAACTCATAGGTAAATATGTATTTTTAGGAGGTTTCAGAACAAAAGATAGTTTAAAGAAGCTGGTACAATAATAAGCAATCATTTCAAGGACACAGCTGGCTTCCTTTCCAGTAGTCACAGAAAGAAACCTTCCAGCTCATAAATTCCAGAAATATGAAATATAATTTTGTACTTTTACCTACATATTTGTGAATGATATCAGTAGCTCTTTCATATATACTGTGTGTACAATCAATAAAATGTAAGCTTGCTTTTACACACTTACATAGACCATTGAGAGGATTCCACTGTAGTTTGTTGAGGGTACATTTAGTATCAATTTGACCTGTGAGATAAGAACTTGGACTGCAGCAGCTGTGGTAAATCCACGGACTAAAGGATCCCCCAAATACCTAACAACGAAGCCAAACTGGAAAACACCTAATATAAGCTAAAGGGAAAGACAAGATTGTTAAAAGTGTCCGTGCAAGATTTAATATACAGTATACCACATAAACCTTTACAGTACTGTGTGCAAATTTAATTGTATGACATTATGAGGCCTTTGACCCAAGTATAATGATAAATGAGGTTGTACATTGAGACTGTACTTTGTTCATAGAAGGTATGTAATGAAAACATTAGGGGGAAAAATGCATGTATCTTAGTATGTTTACATGTATAGTCAAAACTTTGTTCCTTAGTTAGTGCCTGGCAGCACTAAGGTTGTTGGTTCGAATCCCAACCACGGCACCACTTGCCTGGAGTTTGCATGTTCTCCCTGTGCCTGCGTGGGTTTCCTCCGGGTACTCTGGTTTCCTCCCACACTCCAAAGACATGCTGGCAGGTTAATTGGATCCTGTCTAAATTGGCCCTAGTATGTGTATGTATGAATGTGAGTTAGGGACCTTAGATTTTAAGCTCCTTGAGGGTTAGGGACTGAATGTACAATATATATGTAAAGTGCTGTGTAAACTGACAGCACTATACAAGTAACTGTAATAAATAAATAAACAGAACCCCCATCAGGATTCTAATGCTGTATGCGCCGCTGGTAGGGAGATTAAATTTCTCTTTTAGTTCTGGTGACCATTGTCACTGAAACAGAAAGTTATGGGAAATCTTAAATTTTACAATTGTCAACAGTACAAGAGATAAAAAGAAATCTTCTGAATGCGACACCTGTTCCAGTGGCAGTGGTCTAAGAAGGAAATGTTTCCAACTTCGTAGAGATTTTCTTTCACTTTCTGTTGCCTCTTCAGGACAAAAAAAAAAACTGACAAAGATTTTAGGCCGCCTGCACATGGGCATAAAAAAATCCACTTTTACAAGATTATAACATATTTTTTATGCATTTAAATGCAGTTCTACATTAGCCTATGTGGCATTGTACATTAGGCATTTAGATCAGTATTTTAAGGGCAGTGTTTAGGGACATTCAAAAAATGCCCCAAAGCTGTGTTCTGAGAGGCACTTATTAGCATTTTATACATGCACATGCATATGTGCATAAACTTATTCAGTGCCCAGGATACAAAAAATGCCCCAAAGCTGTGTTCTGAGAGGCACTTATTAGCATAATTTACACACGCACATGCATATGTGCACATAAACTCATGCGTATGCGTGTAAATTTATTCAGTGTCCAGGATACAAAAAATGCCCCAAAGCTGTGTTCCGAGAGGCACTTATGAGCATATTTTACACACGCACATGTATAGGTGCACATAAACTCATGTGTATGCGTGTAAATTTATTCCAGTGCCCAGAATACATTAAAATTCTGGACAGTAGAATGAGTTTATGCTCAATGCCATTTGCCTGTAAAATGCACAAACACGTGTAATTACTCACTAAAACGAGCAATTTTTACACTTGATTCTTCTGCAATCTCCTGGCAATGAAGAAAGAAGTGGTGAGAGAACACAGGCAAGCTGAATATTAAAGGGTGGGGGGCTCCCTTTGCAAGAACAATGTCACTTTGCTCTGCATGGACAAGGCAATGGTGTCTTCTCAAGAGACAGTTCTGTATCTGTATCGCCCAACATAATATCTAAAAACACAGCTATATTACTAAGATTTTATGGACAGAACTCTGTTACAAATACTACAAACAAACCATAAAGATATTATCTGCCTCAATTATCTGTTTAATAGACTTAAAGATTGCTTCGATTAATAACTAGGTGTGCTGTCTATGTAGTACATATCAAGCTACACTCACAGTAATAAGCACATTAACAGCCACCAAAAGGCATAAAGAATTGGGAAAAACAAAGATGCTGAAAAATGTACTCAAAGAGCCTAATATGTCCCTCACACTAATCAAGAAACTCAGAACCTAATATATTGTACATAGGAGAACGGGAGAATGATTGAACATTTCCCCGAAGACGTAATGCCACACACTTTGAACATTGACCTAATGTATTAAGTAGTTAGGTCCCATTCAGTATTTTGACCTTAGCACTGTGTGTGGACTGTGCTGTTTCCTGAGATTGTTGCTTGCAAACACAACCTGTGTATATTAGAGGAATTTTTACATGTAGAGCAATTTTTAGCAGTCTAAATATATGTTAAAGTGTTACTAAACCCAGGACCCTGCATTCACTATATCTAGTCTCCCACAGTACATAGAACATCAAAATGCAACCATTTTAGTAAGTATAAACTTACAAATACCTTTTCTCATCAGCAGTTAGAGTAGTCTTGTGACTTCTATCAGTGCCCAGCAGAGCACTGGTTAAAGCTTGCAGGAGGAGTTTTCTTTCTGCTCTAGGAGGATGCAGAACCCCTGACATCTGTTTGAACAGTGCTGATTGGCCCTGTGCTGATCACATGCACTCTCCCAAGATGAAAAACCTCTCTAGCAATGCACACCAAACATGAGCATGTGCAGAGTGACTGATCACACTATGTCTTATCAAGAGATATAAGAGGAGTACTGGAAGAAGGGGAGGATCAGAGAAGTCAGGATCAAACATTATTTTTACACATTGCAGAGGATTAACCCCATAAGTTCCACAGTGAGTATAACAAGCATGTTTTACAGACTGATTTTACTGTTGTGGGTTTAGTAACACTTCAACGTTACATTAAATTTATGAGTATTCTGCCTGCCTAAATCATTTTTTTCATTGTCATTTTAAGGACATACAGTATAAGGCTTTTATTTTGTACACTGTTTGTAATAAATATCCTGCCTTTGTTTTTCATTATACCTCATGCACATCAAGCACTTGGCCCCTGTGCATGGGATCCCAGAATTTATGTACATGTGTAAGGCACAGGCGCACCATCCAGCCCTGCTGATAACAGCCTGTAAAACTGTACAAGAGGTTTAAAAATGCTGTATCTGGATGGGGCACCAAATAGTACATATGTTTCGGGCAGTATGCACCCAGGGACAAATGCCCAGACAGCAGACTTCTTGCAGGCATTCACATACTCCCCTAAACGTTAGTGCCACTCGGTACACTGGGGTACAGGGGGGCTGGATGGTGTGCCTGTGGTTTCCACCCCCCTGCACAAAAAAAAAACGGGATCTCTGGCACAGGGAATAAACACTCAGTGTACATGAGGCCTTAAAGATTGACAAATAGATCATGTCAGACATGCAGTATATTTGTAAGAGAGTATCCTCCCAACTGACTCAATCACATAAGTACCATCACAGCCGTATTGATCTCTCATGTGACACTTGCTTTGCAAAAAATTATTACTATACAGGATTTATATAGCGCGGACAGTTTGCTCAGTACTTTACAATATAAAATATGTGCATGAATGTGCTGCTATAATATGTACTGTAGTATAAGAAATATGACAAGCATTACCTGGATAATTCCAATCAAGAAGCTCAGTGTACTTGAAATGACAACTCTTGCAGCATCCCGGGCTTCGTAATCTATCATTGTTCCATTTGATTCTGTAGAGTTAGTAATAATAAATTTTTCATCTGGAGCCATGGCCAGCACGACTTGTCCCACCATCAAACAGATAACTGGAAATGGTCCTATTGGGAAAGAATGCCAATAAGGAATAACCACTCATAATAGATTCCTAGCTGGAATTATTTTGCTAAAGCACTGTGTAGCATGCTTTCATTCGAGCACTGTCTGGATTGGCTTCCTCATAGTTACAAAGCAGGACCATACCTGAGAAATGTGTCAGCATGGCCACCTAGAGTCTCCATCTGGTTGCATGTGAGATGGGGACATAGGAGAAGCAAAGCTTGGAGACATTTGTCATCCCATTAAGGGAAGGGACTAAATAAACCCCTTCATGGTAAGATCAACAAGTATTATTTAAATGACACTGCAGATTTAAAAACAACTCTAAACATGACAATAACATGTTAAAGCTAATAAGAGATTTTAGTGATTGTGTTTAGATCTACTTTAAATCACAGCTGTTCAACATTAGTTTACTTTCACTTTAGTTTATGTAGTGGCAGAAAATTAATAACTGGGGGTACTTAGAAGTATGGGAAGATTTTTAATTTTAAAATCGCACTTATCTAGGTAGAGGCAGCATCGATCTGATGCGGCATCTGTCCCCTGCTAGCTCTAAGGGTGAGAACTGAGCGATCAGCGGTGTCTGCTCTGCCCCACCCCAGTGCTCACTGAAGTGCTGAGCTGTGGAGGAGCAGGAGTGACTGGCTCAGGCATCAGAGACTCACTGAGAGACTGAGCCAGGTGCCAGGCCAGGCTCCTGGGTGGATCCCAACCATATGATTGCGATCTTTCCCCAGCCTGGACCAGCTTTGTGACGTCAGCTGACAGCAGGCTTTAGCCCACTGTTGGCTGAAAACAGGTCACAGGAGTGCAGAACAAACTGCACTCCTGTGATCCACAAAAGTACAGCCAAGCAAGCTTTGGGTGTACTTCCCCTTTAATTAAAACATCATTATGCTGACCTGCTGCTAAAAAAGAAGTGTTTTATGTATAAATATAGAAATGTGTTGCTGTATAAGTAAATAAATAATAAATGAATAAGGCCCCTTTCAGACAGATGGTCTGATTAGGTCTGCCTGTCAGTTGTTCATTTGAACCCGATCGGACCATCCATAGCTCTCTATGGAGCGGCTCTTGTCAGGGGACTTGTGTTTGCTGACACCCGCCGCATTCGCTCTGATCCTGGCTAAAAAAAAACAGATCGGATCGGATAACAGTCGGGTGGAAATAGATAGACAGTCCATTGCCATCTGCTTGCCCCGTAGAAAACAGCGGGCTGTGTCTGTGTCCGCTCTGCAGCAGCGGAGCGGACACAGACCTGTCTCTCTGCTGATCTCCGCTGAGCAGGCGGATCTACTGATGGGTCCCGTCCCCCCATCTGAAAGGGGCCTACATGATAAATGGGTATCACCATGTCTCGGTGCGTTCATCAAACATTTAAAATGTTTAAATTGCATAAAAATACTCAAAACATTAACACACACAAATAATCAGTTCCATATGGTGAAAAGTAAAGACCAAGATGATTCTAACTTTAAATTTAGATCTGGTTAGAATATAAAGTGGCTCTAATGTCAAAAGGTTTTTTTCCTTACTGCATTCCCTGCAGTAAGGATAAAACCTTCCACTTGCTGTTTCCCTTCCCTCCCTAAATACTTACCCGAGTCCTCTACTGATGCAGAGCTGTGCAGCACTGGTCTCTCTTACTGCCCTCACAGGACAGACTGGGAGCAGCAGGAGCCATTGGGTCCTGCTGCTGTCAGTCAAATCCTGTGAGGAACTAGCAGGGGCATCAGTGAGCCATGTTGTGTGTGTCTATGGACACACACAGCCTGACTCAAGACCACACATGGCTTGCTATGGGGAAATACGCACAAACGGAGGAGTGGCTTTCACAGAGCCGGTAAGAATAACATCTTTTTATTTTTTGGAAAATAAATACAAGGATATAATATCACTTTAATTAAGAATCAAGCTGGCTGCTATGGGCTATATAAAGATATTTACTTTCCTTTAGTCTTTATACATAAGAAATCACTAAAACTAAACAAGGCTATTTGGTCATGTTACCTACCAACTGCGATGTGCCGAGAGGTTCCCAAGAAGAAGTATGTCAGAATGGGGAAGAATGATGAATAAAGACCGTATCCAACAGGAACCTCAGCAAGTAATGCAAAAGCCAGACCTGCAATCAAACAAAATATATGGTAATTTTATTTGTCATAGAGTTCTGCTAGAGAATCTGTCCAATCCATCCTGCTGGATAAGAGAAACCTCCACAGTATTAAAAGGCATTAAAGGAAACCTGTTATAGAAGACACATGTCTAGTGCCATCATTGTGCACCTATAACAATGCTAGTGGCCTGACCATCTTGCAGATCCTCTAGCCTTCACTACTTAGTAGGTCATTGTCTGAAGGAAGTTTTGCAAGTCAGAACTTCCAACTTCACAAAGTATACCCTTATTCTAGGTTAGTAACTCACAAAGTAGTGACGGCAAAATATCATAATGGCAGCCAGGCAACTAGCACTTTAAAAACCACTTGCCGACCGCAGATAGCTGAATGACAGCTACATTGTGGCCGGCCAGTTCTGGGAGGACATCATGGGGTTTATTTACTAAAGCTGGAGAGTCCAAAATCAGACTCCCTTCTGCATAGAAACCAATCAGCTTCTAACCTCAGCTTGTTCAATGAAGCTTTGGCAATGAAACCTGGAAGCTGATTGGTTTCTATGCAGAAGGGAGTCTGATTTTGGACTCTCCAGCTTTAGTAAATAAACCCCCATATGTCATCCTCCCAGAACGTGCATTCTCACGTGCACCCGGCAATCTCTGTGAACACTGTGTATTATGGACACAGCTGATCACGTGATGTGGTAAAAGGCCAATCATAGTGGCCTTTTACCACGTGATCAGCCGTGTCCAATGACACAGCAGATCACTGGTGAATGCAGTTGCTGGTTATCAGCTGCACTTTCCTCACGGTGTCACAGAGTGAGGAAAGTACTGCCGATAACCGGCAATTTCAGAGGACAGATCAGCACCGATCATCAGTGCCCTGATGATCAGTGCTGCCCACCAGTGCCGCCCATCTGTGCCCAACAATGCCACCCACCTGTGCCCAGCAGTGCCGCCAGTCAGTGCCGTCAGTCAGTGCCACCCATCAGTGCCGCCTATCAGTGCCCATCAGTGCCGCCCATCAGTGCCAGCTCATCAGTGCTGTTTATCAGTACCACCTCATGAGTGCTGCCTATCAGTGCTGCCTATCAGTGCAGCCTCATCAACGCACATCAGTGAAGGAGAAAAATTGCCTGTTTGCAAAATTCTATATTAGAAACAAAGAAAGCTTTTGTTTTCAAAATGTTTGCTCTTTTTTGTTTATAGAGCAAAAAAAAACACCCAGCGGCGAGTACATACCACCAAAAGAAAGCTCTATTTAAAAATTTCATATAGGTACAGTGTTGCATGACTGCGCAATTGTCATTCAAAGTGCGACAGCGCTGAAAGCTGAAAATTGGCCTGGGCAGGAAGGGTTATAAGTGCCCTGTAGGCAAGTGGTTAATTAAGGAGAAGATGAGCAATGGCAGCATACATTTATTCTCACTGTAAACCTTTGGTCATAAACAGAGCTTAATACACAGCTTAGTAGCCCTAGGGGTTTAGGTCCCAGTTTAAATTAGGAGAAAAGGGATCTACAATGTACAATGCAAAAATACTTTGAAGCAGCTATAGACCAAGAATAAAATATAACTTATAGCTTTTACTAACACAAGCCTTTTTTGGCTAAATACATCCTGGATGAGGGATCCTAGACTCTTTGTATCCAAATAAAAGGATTGGGGTTCCTTGAGGCACAGATTCTTGGAAGCATTCGGTCTCCATTAGGAATACATGCAAGAAGTACTGGTTTGAACACAGAGATCCTGTCTTGCAGCCCTCAGCATCACCCTAGTAATGTCAGCTGAAGTACAGAAGGTGGCCACAACAAAACATCAAAACAGTAGATTACAGCATAGTCCATAATCAAGGTGTAGTTACGGCAGGTGGTGCTAAGTCAGAATCATAAAACAGGCACAGGTAAGGCCATGTGGAATACAGAGAGAGTCATAACATAGACCCAGGACAGGGAGTTCAGAGAAGGTAAGAGTCATAATAAACATAGCAATAGGAATCACAGATGAAGAACAAAACACCAGAGCAGACGGAAAAGTTTGGTCAGGTGCAGTACCAGTTCACTGAGCAGAATGTATATCTTACTACTGAGGCACACTTAACAGCATGCTCAGCAGGACATAGCAATGCAAGTAAAGCTAGTCTCTGGGACAGAACACTGGTGTGTGTGGTGTCTGTCCACTATGGGAGTTAGGTATGAGTGTCTCTTTCCTCTCTTATGGCCCCCAAATGGACTCACCACCCTAATGTTATCCTAAATGTTCTGGACGCAATTTTTGTTCCAAATGGCTGGCTCACTCAAGTAGGTGGTGCCATATGTCAACAACCAGTTTGACAAGGAATACTGGCCTACCTCTAGTGTACTTTTAAAGCATACTAGTTATCTTAACATATCTAGGGATACCAATAGCGTTTATACATATCACCGTTTTAGTCCGTGTGCCTTGAGAGGTGTTATTACAGTTCCACAGATCATGTCTGAAATTATGATTTCCATGCTGCAGTGCACTCATGCAGTTATTTGTGATCAAAAACACCAAAAAGCAGACAGCTACTAAGTGAGTTTTACTACAGAGCAGAGAGAGAACATTACTACATGACAAGGGTGCGGTTTTAGAGGTGCTTAATTGTTATCTCTTTGAATCTTTTCTTTTTTTGGGGAAGGCCCATACGTTTTTTTTTTTTTTTAGGAAAGCGACCTTTTAACTCCATGTTAAATTTTTAGTGACCTCTCTAACAGTCCAGTTCTGTTTTCATGGAGGGGCACGGTGAAATAGGGAGCCGTCCATTATCCCTAAAGTCACTGTTCCCTTGCAAAAATGTAGCACCTCCAAAAATGGTCCATTTTGAATGGGGCATAATATTGTGCTGAGCATATTTATCACTGGTATAGGCAAACACATTGATTTAAGCTGTTAAAACACGACATCCATTCAATGATCTTTACCTCATGGACCTTGATATGATTTTCTGAGGTTTCTTGTATGTCCCCTTGGTTCTGCATAAGAATTATGGTGCAGAATTGGTAGTGGGGACTTTTAGGCTTGTTGCTTTCTGTACAAACTTTGTTTTTTTTTTTCTTCTGGACAAGTTAAAAAATTACTCATCACAAACTTTTTTTTGTATGTTCGGAATACTTTATGTATTTATGAAGTCTACTATTCCGCCCCATAAGTAAAACAAGCACACACAGTCTTTGCTATACATTTGATCATAATCCTTACTAAAGGTTAAGTTTTATTCCGGTGGTCCTTTAGTGACAATTAGGTGCCATACTGGAAAAAATCGGGTTTGGAATAGTGAAGGCTTTTGTTAGTTGATTTTTTTCAGAGCGAGAACATGTCTTCTGGCCAAGACTAAGAACAAAGAAGGAATGAGGGATCCTTGTAGATGTGCATTCTGTTTTCCACAATTGGCTGTTTGGAATCAAATGCTATAGGTTTATGGGCAGAACTTATTTTTTTAACATTATGCAATGAATGTCTGCTTTTAGCACTTCACATCAATATGGAGTACAGGCACAATCTATATTCGTGCATCCTATCTAATCAAAAGGTGAAAAAGTGCTCAGCTGTGAGAAACAGTTATATTTTAATGAAGGCTATTCTATCTATATATGCTACAAGGCTAAGAGAGTTCAACGTGCATTGTGAGATTCACTTTGTAAGTATCAGAAAGCACAGATTAACAATAAAAATATTATGTAGTGAGATTGGTATAAGAAAGTTATAGATAAAATGTCATGGTCACACTGACATATCTTGAAGCCCTTTGACTTCTTCAAGCACTGATCACAGTACAATCATATTAAAAAAAACAGATAAGATGTACCCTAATCAATGTAAGCAATGCACTCAATGACTAGCATTCTTACCTATTTATTGCAGGGCAATGTAATAATTTTATCTGAATAATTCTGTTAGTGAACTCAATGTAACTGTACAGTATATCCTATACATGTTTGCTGATATGGACATATTAAATGTCACCAGGCAGATGTCTACAATGCAAAACCAATTAGATCTGCAAAGGAACCAGTAGGCTAAGGATAAGAACCATTCAATGACTATGATCCCAACTTTGATCAATCCTTTGACCTTGATTCACTAAATACACTTATTAGGTTGGTCAAAATCTTGTTGATCTCCAACATACCCACTTTCTTTGTTTTGTGGCAGTTTTTAATACTTTTTAAAACCTTTTTTTCCCCTATTACTTTCTATCACTAGCAGGAAAAAGATAGTTCAGCCATACCTACAAGGCTGCTATTCAAAGATTGAAGTATAAATGTTTAGTAAAATATATCACAAGGAACAAACTCATATGAGGAAAAAGCATACCTTGTAAAGTGGCGACGAGTCCTGTGCAAAGTCCTGAGACAAGGTCATGTACAAGCCATTCTTTCCATCGGTATTTGGGCAGCCAGTTAAGGACAGGGAAAAATTTCTTAAGTTTTTGGCGAGCTGTTACAGGTGTGCAACTGTCAGTCAAACAACAACAATTTAGTCATAACAATCACACAATACATATTTCTTTAAAACTTTGAATGCAGCAAAAAAGTATACAATGAAATGGGTAAAGAACTATAATAATAATAATAGAGTTTTATACAGAACACACACATTTGTGTCTACCAGTGGCTGTTTGGGATTTAATACTGTATGTAAATGAAAATCCATCCATAGACATGAACTATGCTTTTCAAAATTTGTAGGTGCATGCATAATGGTGCATGTCAAGATTTTATTATTATTATACAGTATTTATACAGTATTTATTATTATTATACAGTATTTATTTGTCACCCATTTAAATAAAGATTATGCTAGTACGGTTGCCTTTATGTAAAGTTATCACCAACTCACAAACAAATACATGTGTATATTCTGGATCTTCATTCCGATGCCATGCCCGTTATTTCTGTCCTGCCATGGGTAATGACATGGAAAGCATTACAGAGGCATCTGAAAGTGTAATAGGATTAATGGCCACTTTAGAGATTCTATTGAGATATCCCGGTTAATCATCACCATGTCTATTCATGAGTAAGACTGGTATAATATAGAAAGGTATGTGAAATCTGTCTCTGAAACATGCTGAAGACGCCAACAGTCTGACAGCATTAGTTGTTAGAGTCATTGTTGAAAATGCTTAAAGTATAAGTGAACCCTCACCTTTTAAATTAACAAAATACATTTCAAATAGAAATGAAAGGTAAAATGAGTCTGTGTGTATATAATATATAAAAAAGTATATGTACTTTTTTTTTAATAATCACATGACCTCTGTTCTCAGCTGCATAAGGAGCTTAGAGAGCTGAGTGATGGAGACTGCAGGGAGGATCATGTCAGCAGGAGACAGAGAAACAGCAGGACACTGATCTTGCCAATAAAAGGAGTTTGCAGGGAATTGTGTCAACAGTCAGGCAAAATGTGCTCCCAAGTAGAATGCAAAAAAGAAAACTAACAAGGCTGGGATGGATGTGCTTCTATGCCTAGCGTTTTCAGTTTGACATAGGAAAGCAGGACTGGCAGGATCACCAGAAATTTCACACAAAGGAAGCAATGGAAAGAGAACAGGATACTTTTTTAAAAAAATACATGGTAATGCAGACACATATCAGAAATACAAAATGTTTGGGTAACATACACTTTAAAGTGGTATTAAACCCACTTTTTAAAAAAAAATTGCTGTAAAGTAGAGTTATCGGTCTCTTATGTCATGAATGCTTCTCCTGTCTGTCAGCTGTGATGTACACTGAACAGTTCAGCGTGCATTACCACCACCCAATCTGCACCCAGATGATGTGGGTCCCCTGCACATGCATGGGAGTGACATCATTGTGGCCCGGCCATTCAAGCGGTCGTAAAAATGGAACCTGGAAGAAAGACCAGGCAAAGTGCCCAGGACCCACAGGATCCGAGACACCACAGCGCTGTAGGGCACATTATGCCAAGTAAGTTTCTCATACTGTGATAGTATACAGTACATACTAGTACATTATGACTTAAACCTGCAGGGTGCCATTTTTTTATTTTATTTTTTTTAAGAGATTACTACCACTTTAAGTGCTGCAACTGAGAACACAGATTTACCATGAGGTATCCAAGGTATGTGTGGGTAAAATGTCAGAGTAAAATGCATTTCCTTTTCCGTAATAATATATGGATCACTTGAGTTCACCTCAAATTCTATTTTGCTTGGTGGGCGAGCAAGCTTTCTTACATCGCAGGTCATAACTTTCAACTCTGTCATGGTTACAGTAAAGACATATAAAGATTTCCCATAAAGGGAACAAAAATATGTAAACAGTATATCAGTTCTACACACATACATGTTCCCAGCTCCAAACCCAGGAGATACAGGTTTCCCACACAGGAGTATCTGCATCCTAGAAAATACTCCCATCTGGACAGGGGGCAGGTCTAGGAGGGTAGAGTGGGAAGCCATCACACATTACCAGCTCCCCCTCCCCTCATCAATAAAAATCCTAAGTGAGCAGCAGATACGATTGTCAGGCTGCCACATAACATGGTTAACCTGAAAAGTCTTGAAGATTTATCTTTGGTATATGTAACTCTGCAGTATTAAATTTCATTCCAATGATAAGTAGATTTGAGGCATTGACCACAAATCTTCAGCTTGTAGAAAAAGTAGTGTTTGAGTCTGATACCTTGGGTTTGGCAACTATCCACAAAAGGACACCCCTCCCCCCCTTTCTCAAGAAGAGGGGGTCACCTACATTGAAAAACCCAAATGTAGTGAAGCCTACATAAGCTCCAAACAAATATCCAAAATTTTCCATTTTTCTGACAAGTGTCAACGAGGAAACAAAAGACAGCCAACACATTTCAGGGGTCATGGTTCCCTCTTCTTCAAAGCTTAAGACACTGTATCAAAATGTATAGTGGACTCAAAAAGAAGAGCTCCAGGGAAAAAATTAATCTGTACTATAGCAGGAGATGTTTAGGACAACAGTCAAATAGTTGTTCCAGAATCAGTGGTAGTATAATGGAACCTCCACAATGAAGGGAGATAAGGGGGGATGAAGGGGGATTTGTGACTTTTCAAACGCTTTGGCTGCTGTTTTGTTTTCTTGTTGCGAGTTGCGGAAATAATAAAAAAAAAATGTTGGCACTTATTTTAGCTCAGCTACACCTGTAAACAATTGCCGAGTATTGACTAGGTATTGTAAAGCATAAAACAAGTATAGTCTCTCAAGATAAATGAAGTATGGGTCACAGACACTTCGCCGAAGGGCCTGTTGGTGACCGAGAGCAGTATCTGTGGGACGAGATAAGCGTTCCACTGTCACTCTCCTATAGCGTTCTGTCATACTGTCATATGCTGCCTACTCATATCAGGAAAGGAGTACAAATTTCCAGATCCCTATTTTGGTTGTAGCCATTCAAAAGAATTATGTCTCAAACAAGTGAAAGTATTCCAATCAGAGAGTAGATGTCTACAGGGCAGAGTAATCATTGGTCAAAAAACAGGTGACTAGCAAATGGTTTTCCTGATTGTCTTAATCTCCAATGTTTGTTGCACACCAAACTTCAGTCTTCTGTAGGTGGAGGAACTGTAACGTCTTCGATCCAATCTGGGATATCCACAGGGTTTTCAGGAAGCCTATCTTTTCCCCTGTAGGGATGCTGTTGGATACAGTAATCTCTACTTGCTGTAAAATGAAATGGGACCCCCCCCCCCCCCCCCCCCCCCCCAGCAATATAATACTTTTTATTTCCAGAGCAAGTCCAGGAGGGGTTCCACACCCTCTGCATCATGGGGACTGGAAAGCATTAAATCTTAGCCAAATCAAAGTCAGAAGGGACACTATCTCATGTTTTTCATGTTAGCCTCTTTTTATTGTAAGGAAACAATTTACAGATCATATCTCTGGGCTTGTTGATATCCTCACCCTTCAGTATGAGGATCTTTAGAACTCTTTATGTTTCCATAGACTGATTAGTTGAATTTTCCAAAATCTGATTAAAGATGCCTATCAAAGTAAGTAATAATTCCTTAGCTCCAGTGACCTCTAAGAGCCCTTGATCCAGATGTGATTTCTGTTTTAAATTCATTTAAGCTATGTTGATATGTAGGTTCCATTTCTGTGAACAAGGGCCTTTAAGTCAGCTTAGGTTGGCAGGTGTTTTAAGTATAGATGAATGTCCTAGGAAAGACTCCCTTGCAGGATGCTGTCCCCTGCCCCAAATTTTCCACAGACCGGTGAATGTGAAGGAATACTTTAATTTAGATTCATTATTAGTAAATGGAGTTAATGGTCTGGCTCTCTCAACAGGGTCAGCACATTCACAGTGTCTGCATGCTCAGCATTTGAAATATTTGTGCCCATCACCTTGGAGCTTATGAAAATGTAGATTTATGCTTCAATCCCTCTGTGTGAGGATTTGGCAGTGCTTTTAAGGTATCCAGGGTGTCCTCACTTATTTGGCATCATAATGCTGGCACTTCAGGGACTGTATCATATTTTGCTCAAGCAAATCAAGGACGTAGAGCGGGACTTATGACTTAAGAGTGAAAACCACATGGCCCACGTGCTTTATTCACATTTATTTTTCATAATTGCATAGTCTCTTATTACCTGTTTGGGTTATGTTGGCATCATTAAACTGTTGATAATATTCAAGTTTGGGATCGTCTGTACTCAATCTGCAACCCGATAAACAATCAAATTGTAGTGTCCTTTGGATGTTTTGAGATTTTTTTCATTGACATATGATACACCTATGTAAGATATAAATGAGGCTCCTTGCAGGTCTTTAAACACCCTTGCCCACCCCCAGTGGTGTATTTTGGTTTTGTGCTGCCCTAGGCAAGACTAAAATCGGGCACCCCCCCAGCATCTAAATTTGTCCCACCCCTTCCTGTTTTAGATTCCCCCCTTAATCTGTAAAACCCCACCCCTTCCTATTTAGGGCCCTATCTCTTCCTATTAGAGCTCCGCCCACTGACAACGATGGGGCGTTATTCCTCCCACTGACATCAATAATGGGGCACTATTTCTCCACTGACACCAACAATCGGGCACTATTCCTCCCACTGACACCAATGATGGGGTGGTACTATAATACTTCCACACTGACCCACCAATGATGGGAAACTATACCTCCCACACTGCACTAATTATGGGGCACTATTCCTCCCACTGACACCAAAGCAGAGTGAGAGAGAGAGGAAGGAGGGAGCGAAGAGGAGGGAGAGAGAGAGAGGAGAGAGAGAGAGAAGGGGGAGATAGAGGGGAGAGAGAGGAGGAGAGAGAAGAGAGGAGAGAGAAGATAGAGAAGAGAGAGGGAGAGAGGGGGGGGGAGAGGGGGAGGGAAGGGGGGGATGAGAGAGGATGGAGAGAGAGAGAGGAGGGTGGGAGAGAGAGAGAAAAGAGAGAGGGAAGGAGAGAGGGGAGAAGAGAGAATAGAGGGGGGGTTGAGAGAGGGGGGAGAGGGGAAGAGAGAGAGGGGGGA